TGCTTGAAAAAACACTTATCGTTCTTAAGTTCAAACGTGTGTGAAGATTCTCACTGATTACTAGTTCTCTCAATCTTTGATCACTTCACTCGATACCTTAGGCAAATGTTGGATGTGTTGGGATTTCAGTTGCTGTCTCTTTCTTGATTCCCGAGCAGCTTCTGATATTTCTTCTCGTTGTCTACAATGTATAATTTAAATAGTTTACATTTAGGCTGCGTTAGTGCGTTTTATGAGCATATAAGCTAGTTTGTAGCATATTTGATTAGCTTATAAGTTTCTTATATTCAAATAAGTTTGGTTTGGTTGGACGAAATTTTTTAAAAAATTCGAGCTTATCTAATAAGTGTCCTTGGCTAGCTTTTCCTATAAGCCAATCAAATTTTTTATTTCAGCTGTCTTATCAACTAATTTTACCAAATATTTTTATCACGTAAGCTAGCTTTTATATAATAAAATATTAGTTATAAGCGCGAAATTCACGTAAAAGTTATAAGTTAACTTATCAGCTCAACACAAAACTTCGGCCTATTTGAAATCGGAAACAGTTGTTCGGGCTGGTCTACTTATATCCTTTTTTTTTTAATATTTCTTTATTTTGTTGCTACTAACATTTTGTGCGTTGGATTAATCAGGTTTTACCGATGGGAAACAAACCCGCAAAGCAAGAGAAAAAGAGAGAAGATGTTATTTTAGTGAAGGTAGTCCCTCATGTAGACCGTGCGTACGTTCGTTGGCTCACTCGGGATTTGAAGAGGATTTACGACTTCACGCCACAGAATCCACAGGCTATAAAGCCTTCGGATCACTACATTGAGATTATGCGTCTGAACGGATTGTTGGATTTGGACATGGATGACCCTGACCTGGCACATCTGTTCAAGTAAAAAGGACTGTTTTGTGTCGGGTAATTTCGCAAACGAGGGAGTTTTTACTCGCCAAATGTACACTTGATTTAACTCAATTTAGGCATTACAAGAAAGCGAAAATTTCCAATTTGTATTGTGATTTCAAATTTTCTGTAGCTGTCCCTGGCAACTCAGTTTGCCTATGTTGTTCTTATCATCTTATGTATTTGTCTATAAGAAAAAATAAAGGATTTCATGTGCTTGGTTGGGTAAGAAAGGACTAGCTTTCGAGTCTAAGATAAACCATGTTATTATTAAATCAAGCGAAGAGAAGAATGTGATTCAAAGAAACTAGTACATCATTCGTGATTTCACTTCAGGAGTGCTAGTTAAGGAAAATTATACTGAAATTTTTCCACAAAAGAAATATATATATATATATATATATTTATACTAGTACAATACCCGTGTATTACACGAGTGCTTGTTATATTTTTTCTTAAAATTTAAAATTAATAAAGTTATTTAAAATATTAATACTATTTATAAATATATATATATTATTATATATTTTCAAAAGACATTTGTTATTTGTGCAACTTATTTGTGTTATATTATAATATTTTTTTAAACTTATAACATATAACTACTTTAAACATGAATATATTAATTGAGAAATAATTTTATTTTTCTAATTGATGTTAATGAATCATTTTATTATGTTTATACAGATAAATACAATTTATTTACTTTATACATACAATATGGATATATAAGAAATGTTTTTTGCATTCAAATTTAAATATTTTCTAAAAAAATGTCTGATTCAAGATGTAAGAGAGAGGTTTGTTTTCATTTGAATTTCTAGTACTTTTAAAATTTTATATTATTATTTATATTTAGAAAGTGACTTTTTATTTATATGGTTTGTCATAAATAATTTTTTCTAATTTGTATTTATTTGAATTTATAGTTTATAATTTTATTAATCTTTAAGCAGTATAAAAAATTATTAGTTGATTCAATTTTATAACAAAGAAAATTAAAAATATTTCTTTATTCTATATATGCAATATAGACATCGAAAATCGATAAAAGATGATTAATTTGATAAATTGTATATGACAATCTTATAACGATTATAAAATTTATTAAAATTTAAACATATTTATAGTTTAACTTAGTCATTTTTTTTTTTTTTTTTTTTTTTT